ACACGCGAGCCTGTGGGGACGTTTCTCATCCAAATCACCACCACCGGCTCATAAGACGCTGTCTGTCCTGGGCTGTGCAAAGATGCAGAAGGGACAGTCCCCCAACCCAGCTGCAGCCTGCAGGGCCACACGGCGCGGAATGCTCTAGAAATGTCGCCCAGATCACCCCTCAAACTCACACGTGCCCTGCAAGAAAGGACTGCTGGATGACACGACACACCAATGACACTTCTTCCTATAATTCCCTGAACACATCTGCGCACACGGTCCCGTGGGGGCTGGTCGCAGCACACGGCTGGAATGGTCCTCTCTCCTTGGACGCGATCCCCGTGATGTCACAGATGCCACCATGAAAGCCCCTGCTGCCCCCAGTCCCATCACCTAGCCCACCCCATACCGTACTCTCCTGGCTGATTTTGCCTTCCAGGGTCTTCCATCCACTCCCCCAGTGCTGTCCTCATGGGCTTCCCATTCTCTGCTGTGCTGTGCCCACTCCCCGCCGTTTCATGACGTGGAGTGGACAGCACCTATTGCCCCAAGTGAAGGGACGCCACCAAAACCACCTTCTCATCACCCTTCCAGGGAGGGCTGGCTCCCTTGGCTTGTTTTTGAAGCCACTGAAGGGATGAGAGCGTCTAGATCCCCCCCCCCCCCCACCGCTAATCGCAGCATTCAGCTACCCACACGTTAACTCTTACAAACAGAGACACGTGCATCTCCACGTGTTCCTCCGGTCTTTCCTCCCCCACCCACCCCACCCCACCCCGACTGGTAACTCTTCAGTCTTCTTAGAGGCATTGTGTACTCCGGGCTGTAAAACTAGAGCTGGACTTAATAACCGAGGTAAATGTGCAATGGCCAATCACAGCCCTGGTTTTCCCTGTTCCTAGACTGACGGCAGGTCCCACACTGTTCACTACCGGGGGGCTCCTTCACCTCCTGACTTCTGTGCCCCCCCCCCCGCCCCATAGAAAAGGCAAATATATAAAAGGGTGGCCACGCCTTCTGTTTAAAACCTTAGTCCTGAAAGGCATGAGCCACACTCTGGGTGGGGCATGACTCCGTCACCGAGGCCACCTGGACAGCAGGTGGCAGGACTCTGTGGCACAGAAGCAGCGGAAATGAAGCCAAGCTGCGTACTAAGCAGGGGTGACCCTGACTGTCAGCCCAGGGCCCAGCGAGCCTTCACAGAGCTGGGGGTGAGGCACCCAGTGTCTGGTCTTTATCAACGAATGAAAAGCATGATGTTTTAAACGGTTTTCGTTTTGCCTGACACACAAACATCTTAGCCTTGCTCTCGGTGGGCTCTGAGTTATAGCCTCAACCAAGACATTTGTCAGTTGATGAGCAGATCTGTGCACGGGGCGTGGTAGAGTCTGGTCAGAGGGCACAGAATGGAGTAATAGGGAGTTCAAACCTCTTGTCCTACTTTTGTTATCCACTGGGTATCGGCAGTACCTAAAGGGGCTTTCAAAGTTCCTGAGAAGACACCAAGGCAACTCTTACCCTAATCCAATCATCGAGGTGCCTTCAACAAGAGTGGGGCTAAACGTGACCTCCCAAGTGAGGGGGTTTTAAGTTTGGCCACCAACAAGGGAATCTACTGGGCAGATTCGGGTCTCCACTCAGTATCTGCAGCTCCTTGTCTTTATCGGTCACGTCTCTTTTCCTCTCTCAGACCCCACACATCTGAGCTTGGTCTAGCCATATGTAAGGGGCTCCCATTCTATGCACACTCTAAGTCTGTGGCCTAGTGTTCATGACATGGGTGTTGATCCCAGGGCAGGGATCAGAGGGAAACGCACACTGAACTTTCAATAGGGGTGATGGTTAATACGGTCAAGTTGACAGGATCTAGAACCAGAGACACGCCTCTGGAATTTCTGGACTTGGTTAACCGGGACAGAAACATCCACCCTATAATCTGGACAACACCATCTCACGGGCTGGGATCACAAAAGCAAGAGAGCAGCTAACGTAAGACTCTGCCACAGGGAGAGGGGAACGAATGTGACCGCTCATCCCGGTGATGGTGCAATCAGCTGCTGCAAGCTCCTGCCGCCACACCTTCCCCCATGGTGATGGCTGTACGCTCAAACTGTAAGCCAAAAAAAAACTTCCTCCCTTGAGCTGCTTTTACAGGGGGAAGGGGGGTGTTTTGTCACAGTAGTGTGAGAAATAATGAAAACAGAAGGTAGCAAGCTGAGGACCAGAGTTTGTGTGTCTTCAGTCACCTTACTGTGGCCTCTACCTTTCTGAGCCCCCAATGCAAAGAGGATGGGAACGGTGGCCCTCACCCCCAAGGAGTCAGCAATCTCAGAGCACCATCAACTCCTCCTTTTCCAGAGGCCCCGCCCTTCACGACAAATACCCAGAGCTGGAAAAAAAAGCCACCAAGGCAAAACATAGGGGAACGCAGCTCCCAGTAGGGGACTAATTCCATCCACGGCACATCAAAGTATAAACTACCCAGAAGGCTGATGAGAGGTAGCTAATGGACAAACCTCCTTTCACCTCAGGACTCAGAGAAATAAAGATTCAGAGTGGCCATGCATCACACAGCCCGCCAGTGGTCCAGACTCCAGCATGCTTCTGGCCTGCTGGGGTCCCTTTGAGCTTGCAGACAAAGTCTTCCCAGACTGCCATGGTTTGACCTCAGTAATCATCCAGATGGAATCCTATTTAGAGGCCACTGAGGAAAGATGAGCAAAAAGAGCTCAGGGGAAACCGTCTAGGACCAAAAGTATCCACCTATAAAAAGGCTTTTGCAGCCGGGCGTTGGTGGCGCACGCCTTTAATCCCGGCACTCGGGAGGCAGAGGCAGGCAGATCTCTGTGAGTTTGAGGCCAGCCTGGTCTACAGAGCGAGTTCCAGGACAGCTTCCAAAACAATACAGAGAAACCCTGTCTCAAAAAAACAAAAATAAAAAAGAAAGAAAGAAAGGAAAAAAAGGCTCTGGCAGGGCACAGGGGTAGGGTAGCAAATTTTCTTGCTTGCAAATTGAAGTCTCATTGAGACCAATGGTCTAAAGGACAAAGCTGTCAAACCACACAGTAGGCTCTATAGATCGGGTGCTTCCTTGGGTAGGAATCGAAAACCAGATCAATGCAATTGATTTTAAAGGCGACTAGACAACCACACACAAGGTTAATTTACAAGTTAGGAAGATGCCACCCACATGCCCGCCCTGGCAGTTTTTTCTATCTAGGTGACTGACAGCTTCTCCCTGAACCAAGAGGAAAACTCAGCCACCACTGAGCAAATGCCTCGCTCAAATGAAGGGCCAGAGTGAAAGCCTGGGGGGAAGGAACTGCTCATAAAACTTTCAGCAGCTCTGAAATCACAGGCTAAACAAGTCATTGCAGAGAGCGGTTTCTATGCATTTGATAGGAGAGCCCCTTTCTAAAATTCCCTTTGCACTCCAGGCAACCAAGAGAGCTTTTCCTAATGCGCTGCTAACTGGTAACATTCTTCACAAAGGCCGTCAGAAAGAAGCAACTCCACGTGCCAAGGTACAGATGCTCCAAGCCGAAGCAGAAAGCAAGCCAAATGTGTTGAGTACACAGAGAACATTTCTCCACCATGCTTCTTTTTTAACCTTGGCAGTGAATCAACCATTAAAGTAGAAGGCGTGCACCCTCCCCAGGAAGGTGTTTAAGCCCTGAGACTTGAGCAGTGCTTTAAAGAACTTGTTCAAAACCCTTGCCCTAAATATAAAGAGCAACAAAGAAGCAGTTTGTTACAACAGGATGTTTAACGATGTGCAACGTGCCATGTAGCACGAGTCACCTGTGAGGGTTTATTTCCTCTTGTAAAAACCCCCGTGAATTTTGCAAATGGAGAAATTGAAGATGTGAATTTGGAAAGTTGTGTTTGTCAATTCAAGCTGCTGTAACCGACAGTAGATATTCATTGTCTTACTGTTCCGTTGTGGAAGCTGCAAGTCCAAGCTGTCTGCAGGATTGGTTTCTCTCTCTCTCTCTCTCTCTCTCTCTCTCTCTCTCTCTCTCTCTCTCTCTCTCTCTCTCTCTCTCTCTCTCTCCATCTATCTATCTATCTATCTATCTCCCCCCCCCTCTCTCCCCGAGATGGCGTCTTTCACTCCGGCCTTCCACTTGTGCATAAGCATTCCAATGTCTCGTCTTCCAAGCACATGGGTTGCATTAGACCAAGCTCAACTCAAACTGTAATCATCACCTCGGAGGCTTGTATTTCTGGCTTTTCTCATGGCTGCAGCAGAAAGCACCTGGGGAAGGCGACTTAAGGAAGTTTCTTTTCAGCTCAAAGTTAAAATGCATGGCAGTAGGAGTGTGAGGTGGTTGGTGACATTGTATCCCACTCAGAAAGCAGGAGAGAGGTGGTTGGTGACATTGTATCCCACTCAGAAAGCAGGAGACAAATGCTGACGCTTGCTTTCTTCCCTTCCATTCAGGGTGGGTCTTAGTCAGTGAGAATGATGCCCAGATTCAGGGCAGATCTCGGATCCTCAGTTGAATCTTTCTGGAAACACCCTCATAGACATACCCAGAGATGTGTTTCCGTGGTAATCTAAATCCATTCAAACTGACAAGATGAACTATCAGACGTTCCAGTCCCTCAATGCAGTCATACTGAAGGTTCAGGCTTCTTCACCTGTGTCTGGGAACATCACTGTCAGGTCATAAAAGCGGGTGGGCATTCCTACTGGTGAGTGACAGAGCCAAGGCATCACCCCATCACGGGAGTGGGCTCAGTGGGAGCTCCAGGCAGAGAACCACCGCCACAGCACTGAACTTCACTGTGGGTGGCAAAGGACCTGTGTGTGCTAGATCTCGGACACGGAAGTGTGTGTCAACCAAGGACCTGTCCGGAAGGGGCTAAGTAAAAACCGCTCTGTAAACCTAGTTTGTAAGTATGAAAGCGGTATTTGGGTTTCCTGCCACAGATAGTGTGTGATTACATCAGCAAAAACAAAAACAGCATTTCATTTGAACTCTCTTTTCTTTTCTTCAAACTGCCAGCGAATGTCCTGGAAGGCGATTCCATGGACCAGGACGTGGAAAGCCCAGTGGCCATTCACCAGCCAAAGTTGCCTAAGCAGGCCAGGGACGACCTTCCGAGACACATCAGCCGAGACAGGACAAAGAGGAAAATCCAGAGGTATGTGAGGAAGGATGGGAAGTGCAACGTCCACCATGGCAATGTGAGGGAGACCTACCGGTACCTGACAGACATCTTCACCACCCTCGTGGACCTAAAGTGGAGATTCAACCTGCTCATCTTCGTCATGGTCTACACGGTGACGTGGCTCTTCTTTGGGATGATCTGGTGGCTAATTGCATACATCCGGGGAGATATGGACCACGTAGAGGACCCCTCATGGACTCCCTGCGTCACCAACCTCAATGGGTTTGTCTCTGCTTTTTTATTCTCAATAGAGACAGAGACCACCATCGGTTATGGCTACCGGGTCATCACGGACAAATGCCCCGAGGGAATTATTCTCCTCTTAATCCAGTCCGTGTTGGGGTCCATTGTCAATGCATTCATGGTAGGATGTATGTTTGTGAAAATATCCCAACCCAAGAAGAGGGCAGAGACCCTGGTCTTTTCCACCCACGCAGTGATCTCCATGCGGGATGGGAAACTGTGCCTGATGTTCCGGGTTGGGGACCTGAGGAATTCCCACATCGTGGAGGCTTCCATCAGAGCCAAGTTGATCAAATCCAAACAGACTTCAGAGGGGGAGTTTATCCCCCTCAACCAGACAGATATCAACGTAGGGTACTACACCGGAGATGACCGTCTCTTTTTAGTGTCACCATTGATCATTAGCCATGAAATTAACCAACAGAGTCCCTTCTGGGAGATCTCCAAAGCCCAGCTACCCAAAGAGGAACTGGAGATTGTGGTCATCCTGGAGGGAATGGTGGAAGCCACAGGTAAGATGGGTCCCATCTTGTTAGAAAAGAATTCAGTTGAAACTCTCGGATGCGAAATGCTATGCCTATATGTCCTATAACCTTAAGTACATGCTCTGAGGTGAGTTGCCTAGCCATTTCATGTTTTAATTTTCTTAATTTTATGATTTTGTTCCCTTTATTTTATGTGTAGGAATGTTCTGCCTGCCTGTGTGTATGTGTGCCATGTACATGCCTAGTGCCTATGGAAACCAGAAGAGGGCGCCAAATTCCCTATAACTGGAGTTACAAAACAGTTACAAGGCACCGTGTAGTCTCTGGGGAACTGAACCAGGGTTCTCTGCAAAAGCAGCCAGTGCTCCTAATTGTGGGCCATCTCTCCAGCCCCCCACCCCGTTCACCTTATTTAAAGTCATTTAGAAAGCAAATTAATGATTTCTAATGTATTTTAAGTTTCTAAATACTTAATGAAATTTGACTTAGATTCTCATCTGAAGCATATTTTGCATGATTTTAGAGCATTTCTCATTTAAATATTTGCAGTTATTTGTTGGCAAGCCAGAGGGGAAGAGTTAGACCTTTAAAAAAAAGCCAGGAGAAAATGGCTTAGTAAAACTGCTATTTCTGCCCCTCCTTTGGCCATCATTCATAAAACCCACAGAATTGTTCTTTTTTCCCCCTTTGCGCTAAATATAACCTACCCAGCCCTCAGCAGATGCCATACCAAAGAACTAAAGATTTGATCCTCGTAATCCTACAGACTTTTTGCACTGTCAGTGCTAGCCGTGAGTCTGTCGGAAAAGAGGTGGCCTGTTCTCGGGGTCTGGGAATCTCTGCTTCCACTGGTCTTTATCACACCTGGATGTCTCTCACGCTCCACGTTCTGAGAGCAAACTGGGTTCTACTCATATTTGCTAATCGTGTGCTACAAGCCAAAAGCCTGAGCAGAGCTGCAGCCCCCCCAGAAGTGTGTCAACCTGATCCCGTTCACCAGCCCCTCATAGTCCTGAGTCAGTCCTTGCTACGCAGGCTGGGTCTCCCACCCTCATCCCCACCCCTGTTTCCACAACCCGTGTTCGGAAGCCTCCAGCTTGAGACTCTAGGTTGGTGGGTGTGGTGGGAAAATGTACACTCTGTGAGTTAGGCCAAGTGTTTATTAACCTGGCATCCTGTTCCAGGGGAAAGGATCCTGGTCCTTGGCTTCTGTCTCCCGTTTCCCTGCACCAAAGGGGGGGATACATCCCAGTTCCTACCAAGTAGTTCTTACGGGGGAGAGGGAACTTTTCCAATACCTTTTTTAAATTTCAGTCCGGTCCAGCACTTCCCTTCCCACAGAACAGAAGGATTTTTAGACACTAACAATATACACTTGATCTTCTGCATCCAAGGAACCCAATATTCAGAATTCCACCAACCGTGCATCCAACACATTTTTAAAAGCATCTGGTAATTGCATGCATTCCTGTTTCTTACCATTGTTTTCTAAATAATGCAGTGTAAACGTTTGTGTAACATTTGCATTGTATTGGGTTTTATAAGCAATCTGAAGACGATCTAAAGTATGCAGATGAGCAGTGTCTGTGCAAACACAACTGTTGTGTAACAGGGACTTTACATCTGAGGAGCTGGGCACCTTTGGGAGCGGGGGAGGGAGGGGTGTTCCTGGAGTCAATGCCCTCTGGATATGAGATACAGCTGTGTTCATCTCACATCTGTAGATCCAGGCACAGGCCTGTGTGCTTGCTGTGCGAAAAGGAGTGAGGGGTTACCTCTCTCACAGGGGAGCAGTCCCAGTCAGCGCTGAGATGGGAAAGACTATTGCTCACTTCTGAGCCACACGCTCTTGGTTCCTAAAAGACTTCAGGCTGTATTTTGGACTGGAACGTTGGCTGGGTGTTGTGAAACTCTAACTAGGAACTGCAAACAGCAGCCGGTCTACCACACACTGGGCGTGAGTTTTTTGTTTTGTTTTGTTTTGTTTTAATGTTCTCCCAGAGTGATAATTGATTGGGGCAGTAGGGAAAGGGAGGGGAGAAAGGGGAGGAGGGAGAGAAGAGGAAAAGGAAAGAGGGGGGAGAGGGAGGAGGGAGGGGAGAGAGGAGGGGAAGAGGGAACGCAGGAGGGAGGAGGGAAGAGAAGAGAGAGAAGAGGAGGGAGACAATGAAGCCGAAAGAAATGAGAGGGGTCGATGTCCCCTGAATGGGGAACTCCATCACTTTCAGACAGACCTGAACGTCTCCACCCTGGCAGCACACAGGGAATCCCCAGTGGGGTCGGCAGAGACAGCCTCCTACACCATGTGCCGTCCATCCCAGTGGTCCCGTCCCCCTGGGCAGACTGGAGGACGGTCCATAGGGGAATCGTCCCATCCCTGGTCTGTGTACACGAGAATCCAACAAGCCTCTGACTCCCAGTGCTAACCCGCCACCAACAACAGCCGCCAAGCTCTACCCTCCCTCCAGCCAAAGCCCAGCCTCAAATTATAAATGAATCTGAGCAAGAGCGTCATGATTGCACTGTCCCCGGGCAGACCTTGTCTCTCTGATGACAGCCTGTGTGGAACAAGACTATCTGTGGCGAGAAGCATCCTTTTCATGATAATTCACAGTGATAGCCGCCTAGGAGCATTCTTACCTTTCTGCAAGTTCTTACCCATACCTGGGTAGCTGCCAGCAGAAAAGAACCAAACTCTCTAACCACTCCTGAGAAAATGCAGGCACTACTGATTTTCTTTTTACATATATACTCTAATATATTATACAATTGATGTGTATTTCATATGTGTATGTATGTATATACATATACATACACTCCTAACTTCTGGTTAGTAGAGGAAGGATATTCTAGAATATTCTGGGAGTGTTTGGAAGCTGGACATACATGTCTTGATCTTTTCCACATGGGTTTTATACAAATCAGTACCCACACCCCACACCCCCAAATGCCCAATAAATGATTTCTGAAACTTTAGCAAGACACTTTCTTAGGAAACAAAGACCACAGCTAGGATTTACAGGCGATAAAAGGGAGGGAAAAAATTTAAGGAGGGGGGTAAAGGGGTTTCAATGTCTCAAAGCCACAGAAAAGGAAACCGCTCAAACAGGAGAGAAGCAAATTGAGAAGGCTCTGGTTATTTGCCAGCATGCAGGGCCAGCAGGGACTTCTCCCAAAACTGGTCCCACAGGGCCTGGGAGGCTCAGTGGTTCAGAGCACTGGATGCTCTCCCAGGGGACCCGAGTTCAAATCCCAGCACCCACCATGGCGGCTCACAACCATCTGTAACTCCAGGTGCAGGGGATCCAACGTCCTCACCTGACCTCCAAGCACACGCGTGATGCACACACACACACACAAACACACACACACACACACACACATGCTGGGAGAGATAATAATTTTGAAAAGTTTATGAAAGCCTGTCTCCATTGGCAGTGGGTAGCTGTGTCCAGGGCTCTAGACTCGTGAGTCTGTGTTAGCAGAAGCTCCACGCTCCACCAGGGATCAGCATGCCCACATGTCTTTCTTCTTGCTTTACCCTTGGAATTTCACGCGTGCAAACAATCTGCTTCCGTCGCTGCCCTCTCTCCCCCTCCAACTCCTGGGCCAGCCCCTCTCACAGCCTCCTAACACTTTGTGTCATCTGTGCTATGCCCACTGAAGCATGGCTCACCCCCTCGCCCCCCACCACACCCCTGTCACCATCAGTTGCCAACAGCTCCTGAACTGGAGCGGGCTCTTGTGAGCCCCCTCCCCCATCCAAGCTGGCCTGTCAAATGGCTTTGACCCGGTGCAGGCTGTGTGCAGACAACCACAGCAGCCGTGTACCAGCCCTGCCGTGTCTAGAAGAAGACACTGTCTCACAGCTGCCCTCCTCCCCCCTCCCCAGACTTCTGGCTCCTACGATCTTTCCACCCCCTCTTCCAGAACATTCCAAATCTTGCAGGGGGTGCGGGGTGGTATGGATGTCCCCTGTGTGGCAGAGCACACCACAGTCACCTCCTCTCTGCAACTGGACCCTCGACGGGCCCTTCCCACCGTGTACATCACAGGCCCCTGGTGGCCCTGACGACGGCATATTCTGGAGAGTTTTCTTGCAGTGACCTGAGCGCCGAGGTCTGGGGTCTGCTGGGAGCTCAGCTAGTACAGCAGGCAGCAGGAGCAGCCCAGGCAGGGATCACTTTGTGGGGGACCTTACGGCTTCAAGATCAGTTGCGCTACAGGCAGACTCCGCTTCCATCGCGGGAAGAGAAGTCAGGGGTCATGGGTCATGGCCCACTTGCCTGTCACACGAGACTCAGAGCTGGGCCTCCAGCAGCATTTCAAACCGGGTGTGGGAGCGCAGCCCATGACCCCGACACTCCTGCAGTGTAGGCAGAAGGACCAGCCATCCAAGGTCATCCGTGGCTACAATGTGAATCCCAGGCCAGCACAGGATCCCAGAGAACCTGTCTGGAGAGGAGGGCAGGGACTGAAAGAGAGAGAAAGCCCCTTAGAGGCAGGACACAGGCCTTATCTAGCCTTAACGCCTTGAAGGGATCCCATCAGTCGGACTGACGCTGTGGGGGAGAGGCACACGTTCTCCAAGGACTATTTTGTCCTGGTCCTGCATTCAGTCACAGGGACGACTGTGACGACCTCTCAGGGACCTTCTAGTCATGTGATTCTATTTTTGAACATAAATCAAACCCTGGAAAATTCTGGCATCAGCCACCCAGACACCCCAGCGCTGGCTGTGTGTCATCTGCGAATATATTTTGGAAGGGGCCTTCATGTCCCCGACGCATGGGCAATTTTGGAGGTAGTGGTGTTTACAGAAGGTTTCTTAGCTACGTAAACAAACAGGCTCAGCAGCTGTGGCAAATGTGCACTAAAATAGCAGCGCATTCATCCAGACTGATATTTATAGAGGGCAAATGGCCCTCGCAGCTAGATGACAGCCACCCTGCACTGGGCCCTGGGCCAACCAACGCCTCACTGTAGCCTTTCTGATTGAACTTCCCCCCCACCCCGGCGATTATGCA